CGTGATCCGAGCCCCAGCTCCAGGAGCAGCAGCAAAGGAGAGGCTGATAAAGGAGCTGTGGGCCTCCTCATCCCCATGGTTTTCATTCCCCCTGACCCCAGCTGCCCCTGTGCCAGCAGGGATGGGGAAGGGGGATTTTGTCCATCTGGATCCCCCATACTCCTGCAGCGACCTTGGTGCCACCATGGCCACAAAGCAGGGGCTGGATTCCCCCATGTCCCATCTCGCTCCTGCTGGGGAGGAACATCAGGGGAGCCAAGGGATGGCCCACAGCAGGGCAGCCTGGGCACTGTACCCAGCTCAGCCCCTCAGGTGGACTCAGCACCAGCCCCAGCACCCTCCCCACACGGGGTCCCACCACAAGGACATCCACCCTGGGTCCTACGTGACTTTTCCAGCATCCTTGGTAAAGAAGAGATGCTCATTTTACCCTCTTTTTTTCTTTTTTTTTTAATGTATCTGGAGTAATTAAGAATACCCTGTGGTTTTGGAAGGAGATTTATTGCCTTTGGTTGTGGTCCTTGGAACGCAGAGGAGCCCAGCTCTGCTGAATTTAGCCTTGTTCTCCCAGTCAGTTTGGATGCTGAAGCTTTTCACACTACTCGAAAGAAAGCTTGGCTATAAATAGATGCCTGGGGTTTATTTTAGCAAGACAGTTATTTTAGGCCTGATTCTGCTCTCCCCCAGGCTCTCTGGGGTGCTCCTGAGCTCTTCTGCTCTGAGAGGGAATGGAAATCCCAGTTCAAAGGGAAGCAAAGCTTTTCAGCAGGCAGAGGACAGGAGCTCAGCTCTGCAGCTCAGCGTGAGGCAGAGGAGGGTGAGCACGGCCCAGCACCCTCACCTGTTCCAGGGAAACCCCTGCCCCAGGGCATTCCCAGAAATGTGCAGTTGTTCAAGCTGCAAAAACCCTTTGGGATCATGGAGTCCCTGATTAAAGCCTCACCTTCCCAGCAGGAAAGGAACCCCTGGAATTCAAGGGGAATTTAACAACCAAGGAGCTTCACACCCCCACAGCATGGGGAGGAGGAGCAGGGACACTGAGGTCAGTGTCCCTCCATCCACACAACACATCACAGCAATTCCCAGGGTCAGGATCCCTTTGGAAAAATCACTTGGCATTCCTAACTTAGTGATACAAAGGAGGAAGGTAAGGACAGCCACAGAAAGCACCTGGAAAAGGACCTGGGCAAAGCCTGCAGGCAGTGAAGGAAGGGGCAGGGATGTGACCTGTGTGTGTGTGATCGCTGTCTGTGAGAGCTGGAAGGCAGGAACACAATAATTCTGGCTGCATCAGGGTGGTTAATTGGAAATAAAGTGAAGTCTGAGCAGCAGACAGGAGACCCCAGCAGGGAAAGTTGTCAGATTTAAACCAGAGAGACCCACTAGAGTGGGAATGCAAGACTGGAAGGGTTCTGCTCAGTCATCACATCCCATTCCCACCAGGCACCACATCGTAAATCCTGCTCATAAACATATCAAAAACCTTATTAAAACAAGCTGAGCTTCTGCCCTGCGCTCCCCTGAGGAGGCCATCTCAGAACCTCTCCACTCAGGCGCTGGAAAACCTTGGAAATCTCAGCTCAAACAACTTTGCAGCCATTCCAGAACGTGGCAGTGCCCTTTGCTTGTTCTCCAGCTGAGCCCCTTCCCAGCTCCCTCAGCCTCTCCTGGTGCTCCTGCCCCTTCCCATGTCCCAGCTCCAGCCCAGTTCTACCTGGAGCACCCCAAAACCCGTGTGTTCAACCTCCCCAGTTCCCACAAGCCATGAGCGCCACAGACAGCCCTTCTCCTGGGAAGTGTCCTCACTCCTCCCTTCACACTTACACCTCAGCTGGCACAATTTAACCCTGGTTTTTGTGGACACACAGACTGTGTGTCCTCTCCCCTGAAAGCTCCTTCCATCCCAGCACTCTCAGTCTGGAGCACAACTCCAGACCTCATGCTCCCAACAGATGGAACCTTGTGGGAGTCCTGGGGATGTTCCTTACCTTGGGAAGGTCCTGCTGCCCTCCAGCCCTGCTGGACCTGTCTGGTATGAATTCTAGCCCCCAGCAACCTGAATCCCTTTGGTTCTCTCAGCCTGAGGCTTTAATCCAAGGCTGGGGCAGGAGCTGGGAGGCAGCTGCAGGAGCAGGCAGGATCCCACCTACCTGGACATTCCTTACAGCACTTCCCATCCACTTTTTCAGGGTGCTGGCAGGGGTACTCCTTGGGGCAGGTGAGCTTGTGGCAGTCCTGGACGCCGTCCCTGCAGGTGCAGAGGATGCAGGGCAGCAGGCCGTAGAGCCGGAACACGGGGTGCCACACCTCGCCGTGCGAGTAGGTCTTCCCGTTGTACACACAGGCTGCAGGAGAGACACACAACAGCTGCCTAGGGACATAAACCCTCCTTCTCCTCCTCTTTGTCAGCCCGAGGCTCGGTGGAGGCACGGCCTTGGAGCATGGAGGACATGGCTGCTCCTGCTGTGTGGAGGAGCCATGTTCTCTGGCAGCACGGGACACCACTGAAGGTGGCATGGGACCAGAGGTGCCAACAGGGACCAGCAGGTGCCACAAGGACCCAGCAGGTGCCCCCCATCAGGTGCCATGGGGCAGGGGAGCAGCACCAGGGGATGGCTGTGCCCGGTGGGACCGCCCTGCAGGGACAGGGGCCCTCACCTGGCTGCCACCCTCCGGAGCCCAGGGTCCCTCCCGGCCGTGGCAGGAGTGAAGCACAGTGAAGAGTGCCACCTGCTGACTCCTGCACGGAAATTTCTGGAGGTCCCACAGTTCCCTCCGGGCCTTCATGCCCAAAGCCCTTCTGGAGGCACAATGGTGGGAGAGCGGCCAAGAGGAGAAAGGAGCTGCTATTCCCCCTCTGGATCGAGGGCCTGGCCTCCTCTCCTCATTTCCCTACTCTGTGCTCCAGGGGAACACCTGGGGCAGCTCTGGGTCAGGGCCGGCCCTTGCACAAGGAGGAATGTCCTGTCTTTGTGTGCCACTCTCCTGGAAGGTCCATGGGGAGCCTTCCAGCTGAGCTCCTTCCTTCCCAAGTCCCAGATCTCCAAAACATTCCAAGGACCAGCCTTCTCCCAACCCACTTTGGAGAGTGGCACTCAGGAGGACTGAGACACCTTGAGGCTGGCTGTGGAGGAGTGGGCAGAAGGACTTGCTGGTGGAAACCTGCCACTGAATCAGATCCCCAAAGAATTCCAAGCTCTGGAGAGGCCACCAAAAGTCCCTGCCTGGCCCCTGCATCCCTTACCTTTCTTGTGCTTCTCTTTCAAGACAATCTTGACAGTGGTGCCACCTGCTCCCTTGGGTTTGAAGCTTCTGGGAATCAGCTCCAGGGAAGAGCTGAGAGCCGTGGACACGGTGGCTCCAGGGGCCTTCCTGCCCACCACCTCTCCCAAGCACTGATCCTGGGAATGTCTCTGTGAGCAGCCAGGGAAAACAGGGGATTCAGACTCCAGCAGTTGAGCTGTTCTCCTTCCAAAGCATGCTGGAAAAAGCCATGCAGGTGTCCTCCATGCCTTCCCTCAGGAGTGCATGGGGCAGAGACCACAGGGGTAAGCAATGGCCCACATATAAATCACACAATATTAAGGCTGGAAAATTCCTCTGAGATCATGGAGCCCAACCATTCCCTCAGCACTGCCAAGGCCACCATTATCACATGTCCCAAAGTGCCACATCCACAGAACTTTTAAATCACTCAGGGGATGGGGATGCCAGGCAGCTGTGCCAGGGCTGGACAACCTTTTGGGGGAAGGAACTTCCCCAATATCCAACCTGAACCTCCCCTGGCCCAGCCTGAGGCCGTTCCCTCTCCTCCTGTCCCTGTTCCCCCCGGCTGTCCCCTCCTGACAGGAGCTGTGCAGAGCCACAAGGGCCCCCCTGAGCCTCCTGTGCTCCAGCTGAGCCCCTGCCCAGCTCCCTCAGGAATTCTCCATCCCTCACACAGGGAAATGGGCTGGTCCTTCCTAGGTGGGAAAAGGAGGGCTGGCATCTGTGTGGCACAGGCAGGATCAGAAAGGTGAGGATGGGCCAGATCCTGCTCTCCCACCTGGGAGGCACCAGGGAAGCCAGCGTGGAGCTGCCAGCCAGCAGGGCTGAAACACCAGGAACACCCCAGAAACACCCCAGGAACATCCCAGGCTTCCAGGAGCAGAGTGCTGGGACAAGACACGCAGCACAAAGGGTCCCCTTGTGTCTGTTTTGCAGGTTTTATAGGTGCTGGAGCAGTGTGGAAAAGGGCAGAGGCAGGAGCTGAGTGACCTAATCCCACAGAGCTGGCATGGGCAGCCCAGCTCCGAAATGTGGCCTGAAGGAACCCAGGAGCTAAGGAGTCCCTTTTTCCTTGCTGAGCTGCTGATACAGGGTGCTGGCCTGAGCTCCCACCTAGGCTGATATCTCCCAGCCAGGCTCAATTCCATGGCACAATCCACCTGCAAATCAGGTGCCCCTGTTCTGCTGGGCAAGGATCTGGGAGTCCCCCTAGAGCTGCTGGGCACTGTGCAAGGATCTCGGTGGATCTCACTGTGCCAGGGCATTCTGTGAGCTGCTAGGAGCAAGGGGTTTGAAAATGCAAACGTCACGTACAACACCTCTGTTTAACTGCAGGGGCTCCTCTTCCGAGGGCTTCTCAAGGGAGCTATCTGCAAGGGAAAAACATTGTCCTGGAACACGCTGGGGGCTGAAAGCAGCTCTCCTCCACACGCTGGCCAGCTGGGAGTCTGGAGAGACAGGAGCCTTGCACATGCAATTCCTATCATCCAAGGAAAACCCAAGCCTTGCACATGCAATCCATGTTATCCAAGGAAAGCCCAAGCCCTCAGCTTGTGCTTCCTGGTGCAACCAAGAGATAACAAGCAGGCTGATTTACAGCCCAGGCTTCCAGAATCCCGCCAGAGTGGCTTGGGATGGCTCCGGCTGCCAGCTGGGCTGTGCCAGCCCTCACTCCCAGCCCCGTTACCTTTGCAGACCTGGCAGCAGGAGTCTGGCACGCTGAAGGGAGAGGAGCACAGCAGCTCGGGGCAGGTCACCAAGCCACAGTAAATCTGGCCTTCCTAGGAGGGCAGGAGGGAAAACACACTGTCAGCCTTATAAAGGGCTCTATGTCCCCCACGCAGGCCCCTTCCGACCCAAACCATCCCAGGATTTTATGAGTCCATGACCAAAAGCCCCCTGGTAATCCATTTTGCAGTGCCACCAATCATCCAGCACCTGCTGGCAGCTGGAGTCTGTCCCTGCTGCTCTGTCTGTCTGTCCATCCTGCAGGGCTGTGTGCTCTCCTGGCACGGCTGTTCCATGGATAACACACTGCTCTTCCCCAAAAAGGGCAGGCACCATTAGTGCTGCCGGGCTGGAACAGCCACCACACACCTCCCAGCCCTGCAGAACAGCTCCCAAGAGGATTTTCTTGGCATCTGCCAGGAGAAGGAGCCAGAGGAGATGGGTGGAAGTGGGAAGCAGGACTCTGAGCCCAGGTTCAGGTCCACACCAAAGCTCTGCCCTCCCTCTCCCTTGGTTAATTCCACAACAGCAGGGCCAAGCACACAGAGGTGCAGGGATAGACCAAGTGGATCACTTGGAAAATATCATTGCTGCAGGTGACTCAAGCTGAAAACCACAGGTTGAGGGCAGCCTTGACCTTTGTACATCCCAGTGCCACCTCAGGCACAGGATTTGCACCAGTCTGTGGCAGGAATAAGTTTTGGTACTTTTCCAAAGGGTGAAAAAGGATGTTCAGCAGCCAGCCCTCAACAGCAAGGTGATCTCCCTGCAGCAACTTTCTCTGGGGTATCCACGAGCTCCCAGTCAAGCAAGACCAAGAGGTCAGCCAAGGATATCCTTAGAAAAGCAAACCACAGCTGCCTGTCCTTCTATCAGGAAGCCAAGCTGCTGTGCGAGGAGCGCGAAGGGGATGAGGGGAGTGTGGTGGCTGACAGCATCTGGCAGATGCTGCTCTGCACCCAGGGAGCCCACACCTGCCTCTCCCTTCCCTCTCCTCCTGCCCAGCAGTTCCTGCCCCGGAGCCAGTGCCCAAATGAGCAGGATTTATCCCAGAGGCTCTGCTCTGGGCAGTTCCCAAAGAGGGTCAGACCAGCTGTTCACGCAGCTGTTCCGGCAGCTGACAGCACCACACACAGCCCGGGGAGATCCCCACGGTGAAGCTCCACTTCAGCCAGCTCTTTATTTTCCCATTTGCACCCGAGGCATTGCCCTGACAGACACAGAGTGACAGCCCAGAGGGACAAGGAGCCCACGGGCTCCTGGGGACACATGCAGCTGTATTGGAGGGCTCTTTCAGGTGTTTCAGGTGTTTCACATCACCCAGCTGGGGTTCTTAAGAGGGGAACCAGCCTCCTCCAAAGCTGCATCATTGCAAAGTCAGTCACTCCTCTTACCACCCCAGAGCAGCTGTTCCAGCCCCAGAGGCAGAGGCTGGACAGGTTACAACCGGTGTAACCCCTGTGTGTGATGACCGGGCAAGATGCTTTTGGGGCTCTTCTGCCCCTTCGTGATGTGCTGGCACCAAAGAGGGGGCACCGGGTGCCGCAGCGAGGGCTGCGAGCCCCGGAGGAGGATGAGGAGGAGGAGGGTGAGGAGGATGAGGATGAGGAGGAGGCTTACGGAGCAGCTGCACTGCACACACTGGTTGGGCTGGCGGCCGGGGAACAGCTCGCTGCCGCTGAACATCTCTCCCTGCTGGAACGTGGTCCCGTTGTAGCGGCACGACCTGGCGGGCGCCCGCAGCCCGGACGGGGACGGGGGCTCTGCAGAAGGGGCGAGAAAGGAGCGGGGTCACAGCCAGCCCAGCCCGCCCCAAAGGAGCCCGCACACCCCACGGGCACCCCCAAGTGTCAGAGCATTGCGTGGCTGGTCGGCAATGAAGGGTCCAAAGGGTTTTGGAGGATGGGGCTGCCCTGAGCTCAGCACACAGGGAAGCCTGACTTCACAAAGCTCTTAACAAAATTGTTGGGGTTTTCCCTCCCCTGGTTGTAACCATCACCAGATTCAGATGGAGTCAGGTAAAAAGGGATTGTCTCATAGGTAATTAGCAAAAAGTTAAAATTAATGAGGTTTTTTCCCTATTTTTTCCTCTGATTTCTCAAATCACTGGTGGTTTCTGACTAGGTCTGCCAGCACTCAGATGGGGAAAGTTTTGGGACTAAATCTTGAGGTGAGGTCTTTATTCTCACCATATTGAGGTCAAATTAGGCAATCAGTAGTAGTAACGCAGAAAAACTTTTGGGGCTAAAACTTGAGCTATTCTCCAGTGCAGAGAAGGAAGTTGTTTAAAAACAATAATTTTTTTTTTGTAAAATTTTTTTCAATTTTTTTTTTTTTTAAATCCAAGACACTTTGCTGGCAAACGATCAGAACAAATTGCCAGCTCCTGTTTTGCCCCAGAAGTGTGAACTGACACTTTGTCCCCACAAAGCTCTGGGGATGGGGGCGAGGGGAGAAGGTGATCTGGCAGAGAGCCCTTTTCCATCAGAACGGGATTTTTGGAGGGACAAAGCAGCCGGGGCCGGGTGTCACCGCCCTGTGTGACACGGCCGCCCTGTGCCCTGCCCCGAGGGGTGCCCACGCACCGGGACAGCGCGGGCAGCACTGCTGCGGCTCCGTCACGGGGCTGGCACACGGCAGCGCCGGGCACTGGATCCGGGAGCACCTGATGCTGGTGTTCTGCAGAAGGACAGACAGACAGACAGACAGACAGACGGGCTGGTTAGTCCCCAGGGAGCGTTCAGCCCTCCTGCAGGAGGAGGGACACGCTGTCACAAACTGTGCATCACAAACTGTGCAGGCTCCGGCCCTGCCTCGGTCCCTCACCCATCACCCCAGAGCAGCCCTCGGCCTGCAACCCCCACGGGGAGCAGCTGCTTGTTCTAAATATCAGTCTGCATCTCCTCTCTTCTGGTTTAGAACCCTTCCCTTGGCCCATCATTGTCCGCCTGCATAAAAAATAACTTATCTGCTGAAATGAGACAGCAGGACCGGTCTGCTGCAAAGCTGCTGAGCAAAGCCCCAGTGCAGCAGCATCAGCAGCATTATCATCATCATCATCACCATTATTATTATTATTATTAGCATTATTAGCGTTATTGTTATTAGCAATATAGCAGAAAATTCTGAGACCTTTTTTCTACTTGCCCCATCAGCAGGCTTGTTTGCCTGTGCTATCTTCCTGCTTAGTAAAAACATCTTCTTGTTTGAAGTAAATTTATCCTTTGCTCCAAGCCATAAAAATCCCTTCTAACTAACACACCCTTTGCCTTCTTAGTTATCCAGGAAGACTGGCTCAGCGATTCTTTTCTTCTGTATGAAAACTTGCTTCCATCTCTATTCCTTCATCACACTCTACATTTAAAAATCTTTCTGCTGAGCACACGTATCTGTGAGACTTTGTTGTCAAACTTTCATCCTTCCCAACAAGCATTATTATTATTGTTGTTGTTGTTGTTGTTATAAGCAGCATTAGCAGCAGTATTAGCAGCAGTATTAGCAGCATTAGCAGCAGCATTAGCAGCAGAATTAGCAGCAGAATTAGCATTAGCAGCAGCATGAGCAGCAGCATTAGGAGCATTTGCAGCAACGCTATTATTGTTATTATTATTATTAATAGCATTATTATTATTTTAGTATCTGTGAGACTTTGTTGTCAAAGTTTCATCCTTCCCAACAAGCATTATTATTTTTATTAATTATTATTATTATTATTATTATTATTATTATTATTATTATTATTATTGTTATTGTTATTGTTATTGTTATTGTTATTATTACTATTATTGTTATTGTTGTTGTTGTTGTTGTTGTTGTTGTTAATAGCAGCAGTATTAACAGCAGCAATAGGAGCATTAGCAGCAACATTATTATTAATATTATTATTATT